AATTATTCTGATTTGTTTCTTTTTGTTTTAGTAACTCTAACAATTCAATCTAAATTTCAACGGTTTTTTTTGTAAACACTGCTTTGCACGGTTCGCTGTTCCTGTGAAGCCTCTTTTCTTTTCTCTTTGATTGAAAATATTTATTTCGATTGACCTTATGAACGATTTCATTGATTTGACTCAGAAACTTCGAAGACTTTGGATGGAATAAACAAGCATGTCAATGATTACTACCACTGTCAAATCCACTATTTCTTTCTTCCTTCTCTATTCATATTTGAATACTTGTATGGCGGAAGAAGAACGAAAAAGTGCTATATTTGTATCGCCTTCTTAGTTTCTGTAATACAATATAAAGAGACAAAGAAAGAAATAGTAAATATTACAGTTCTAGTAATCATTCTTGTGCTCGTCTATTTTATCCTAAGTGCTTAAAAGGGCGTGAGTGCGATTGCGGGTATGTGGATGTAGACATATCCGCACAGCCAACTCGCATTTCACATGCATACACACCCACATGCACACCCAACAACTAGTGAAAGGGAAAGAGAGAGAGAGAGAGAGAGAGAGAGAGAGAAGAGAAAGAATAAGAACAAGAAGGAGGATCGCCAACTATATAACATATATAGATGGTAGATCCTAACAGTTATCATCTTGAAAACTTACATTTCTGCAATCATTCAATTCTTAAGCTGCTTTTCTTACTACAATGTTTCGAATGAATTTTACACATTTATCACTTGCAGAGTATATAGTCTTATGACGATCACTACCTTGTGGCCGACAAGCTTCAGCTATTTATTCATAAAAGTTGAATTAATTTGGAAATTTATTAATTTAAGTAAATAGAATAACGAAGAGATATTCCATGTTAGTCTTCTTATAGTTTTTCACCCATAAAAATAATTATAGACCGCAAACTTTATAATTATTCAGTATTCAGAAGGAACATTAATGAATCAAATTTTTCAAAGAGTTTGCTTGTGTTAAATACGAGAATAATGTATCATAGAATTAATTCTGGAGCAGCCCTTATCGAAAAAAAAATACTGTTACAAGAATAATATTTAATTATATTCTATCCGAGAGGAAAACAGCAGACTTAACGTGATTTTATGGAACTTCATCACCACAGTTTCTACTTTTTTTCCCTTGACCTTATCTTTTCTTTTTTATTTGACGCATTTTACCCGACCAAAAAACGATGAATAACAATAGGTTTTCTATTCGAATAACTTACATTTCCATTCTAGTACACTATATTCTGCGTCTTGATTCTCGTCAACAATATGGTTTGTAGTGGGTTCTTCGTCTAGAGAATGATATTGATTCAGAAGTGAATGTGCTAAAATATAAATGTGATGTTGAAACAAAAGTATGCTAAGTGGTTTTCCTATGATAATTTATCTAGAGCTTTCTCTGCAGTTGGACGTTGACAAGGATCAAAAGATAAAAGACGACCAAGTAAATCAATACCTGCCATCAACGTAAAGGAAATGAAATTAATATATTCTTGTCACTTTTGGTTCGAAATCTACCTTGTAGTGAAACACCAGATATTGGTTCGATTCTTTGTGAAACATATTGAAAACCAAGCAATTGATCAAAATTTTGTCTGGGTCTCGGTATCATTTGACTAATATAAGTTCGAGACTAAAAATTTCTCTAGATATTAGCACTTATGTTACGTTGTCAGAGATGTAAACTAATGGCGATTGAAACAAATTTTCACGTTCAACATGAATGAAGAATGCTAGTTTGTTTAACTTGTCCAAAGTTTATATGTAAGATGAGAGTTTCTTTGTTTTTCAATATAAACAATTCTGCCATTAGACATCAAATAGACCATAGATCAATTTTTTCATCATATCGTTCTCAATTAATAATTACTTCTGGCGCACGCCACCAAATAATAAGAGAAGTTTTAGTACGTTTTGAGATAAAAACAAGATTGTTGACAAACCGAGTTACAACATTAGCAGTTTGAATATCTTTTGGTGCAGTACAAGCTCGGTCAAAACCAAGAATCTGCAAAATAATATCAGAAGATACAATGAATAACGATATCTTTGAATACTGATTATCGACAAATGAATGTTTCGTTGAAAAATAAAACAAATAGTAATTTTTACAATCAAATACTAAATGTTCTTTGTACAAGAAAATAACGGGTGGCGCAGAAATAATTGTGCTATTAGTATTCTTAAAATCTCTTCTATACATCAACTTCATTAGTTTGACTTTTTTCACCAAAACATTGTCTATTCTATTCTCTACAAAAATGTATCAAACGATTTATTACAGAATTCGATGATGTAAGATGGCCTGAGAAATCGTGAGAAGTACCTATATGCAAGAAAAAATAATTATAGTCTCTCAAATAGAACTATATTTTCTGAAATTCTTTCCCAATGAAGGATTTCAGCACATTTTTTATGGTTTCAAATGCACTCTATGTCGTTGTGTAGAATGTAAATTAGTTGAACGTATATATTCGACGCCAATATTAGTTTCACTGTAATCAAACGACAACTCACGACAAATTTTATTTGTTTTTCTTCGATTGAACAAAATAATGCTTTTTCTTTAATTGTTAAGGATCCAACTATAATAAGAACTAAACACTAGTTATCGAAATAAGTTAGAAATGCCATCTAAATGGATCGAATTTTAACAGACTTTATTTTTTCTATAGAGACGGTTAAATGGATGTGGGTATGGATGCAAAGAGTAGATTTTCGTCATCCTAACCTACACTCTGAAATACACAGAACTTTGCTTATTTTGGGCATTCTATTCAAGTAAAGAACTACATTTAAATGCTGAAGCGTTTGTGTAATGTAATATTCATTTTTCTTGAAATTATGAAAAAAAAACTAAGCTGAAAAGATTATATTTTGCTTCATTTGTGCAAATTTTCTGAGTGTCCTTTATAGCTAATTGAAATGCATGGTTCTTGAAGCAGTCTTTAAAAAAGAAATAATAAGCCAATGTGACATATATTGATACAAAAAAATTCTAATAAAATTTAAAGATCGAGTTTTTCAAGCTCTACAAAATGGGTATTTGATTATTTTCCTGAGTGAAAGTGTTTCAAGAAATAAACTCAAAAGCAACTAACTTTCATGTTCTAAAGTGTAACATATTAGAGCTTCATATTATGATTTGCGTAATTTTTCTCCTTCAAAGTTTAAAAAAAAACTTTTAGTCTATTCCTATAGAGAATCGAATGACATATCTTTTGAAAACAAGGCTGAGTTCAGAACAACGAGCATTGATGGAGACAGTAAATAACACTAATCGGTCATTTCTTCTACCGCAACCGTTAGACATAATGAAATGGATTACAGAGAAAGCTGTTTAACTGCATGCGAAGATGTTTATGACGAATACTATTTAATGATCATTTGATCATTTCTTCTGTCTTGATTATCGACGTAATGCCTTGAAAAACATACTTTATTCTCCAATTTTACCCTTTTGAAACTCTGTTAACCTATAGAAATCAGAAAACGGATGGTGTTAATTCGATCATAAAGTTTGATCCCGGTATTCGAATAAGTATTATCTGGTTTTCTATTTTCGAGATCATCATGAAACGAACGATTGATCCGTAGTCCGAGAAAAACAAACTCACATCGCTCCATATAAAAATTATGATGCGCGGGACAATAGAACGAAAGGTAGATGCATTAACCAAAGACAAGTGTTTTGTTTTCATTTCAACTTGCTTCCGTTGATATGTAACACTCTGTGTATCCTAAATTCAAAAATTGAATAGTTGTTCCTTGACAACACAAATTTTTGCCTTTTGCCTCTTCAATTAAGATTGCAAATCAAAATCAGACATCGACCAAAAAATGACACAAGAATAGTAAATATTTGTCTATCTACAACGAAACTTTCACTTCTAATTCGTAAAGATATTTTTCTCTTTATGTGAAATTATGATCTTTTAGTCTATTCAAACAATGGGTAGACGATAATAAAGTCAAATGGATTTTATACACGTAAAACAGAAATAATAAAATATTCACTCATTAGTACTTGCTACACTTATTTCAATTTGATAGTACTCATACATTGAAATAAGTAGCAAAATTATTAATAAGTGAAATTTAAATTAACTAGAATATTTTAATTTTGACATGGATACAATACTTACTATAATATTTGACTGTTCATCTGTTCGAATATTTGCTGGCTTTAAATCCTATTTAATAAAACAGTCAGCAATATTTTAATAACATAGAACGTTTTTCTCTTGTTTCACTTACATGATGGATAACACCAGCTGAATGAATAAACTAAATTAAAAAGAAAATGCACAAGATTGTGTGAGTTAGACATTGTGACAGATTTCTTAATACCTTCAAACCACGAACAATCGAATAGATAATTTGTCTAATATGACCTTTCGGGGATGGTTTACCACGTTTAATAACTTCATCCAATATATACCAATCGCGAAATTTTGCTGCACCAATATTCAAAATCAGAAGAAACTCACACTTACCACATTTGCTTCTTCTTTTCATATCTAAATTTTAACAAAGGGACATAAATGTGACAAACAAAATACATTCACACACATTTTACATTTATTAAAAATGCAGCAAGAACACGCATCATCACTACCACGCAACGAAGAAGCCCTCAATTTCGACTCCAAATTAACTGAAAAAGATGTTGAACTGATTGAAGAGGACAAATGCGTCTCACGCCGTCTGCTTGATGATCAACGATGGACGAGAGACGGGTGAGCTGGAGACAATTGTAGCACTGATTGGTGATGACACCGACAAGAACAAGTTTGGACTGTTCAGTCCGTGTGGTAGATGTCGAGAGTTGATTGGCGATTGCAATCACAAGGCGAGAGTTATCGTGGGCACGATGGAGCAGCCGTCTGCGCTGAGTATTTCAAAGTTGATGCCGTTGAAATCCATTGATGTTGAAAATGAATAATGGGCGAGACGGGCTAAGTCTGAGCAATAAATAATGAAAGCTTTTAGTATTAGCTCATTAATCAACAATTTTTTATTTTGAATTCATATTGACACAGTGGTTTTTTTCTAATTAAAATGTATAGCTTCAACAATCAAACCTAATAAACAGATCCTAATGACAGGTTAGATAAGAAAGGAGGCAAATGTTTTCGTTCAACACCAAATTCATTCATCTTATCTATCTCTTCTCGCGAGAAAACGGGTTAGGTCAAGTTTCAGAAGCCGGCTAAATTGTTGCAATTGTTTAATCGATGAGATGTTTTAGACACGCGAAAGAAAAAAAGACTTGCAGCTCTTTACTATTTTTCTGGGAACAAAAGTAACCAATTAGGAACAGAAACTATGTTACGGTCAAGAGTTTTTCGAAGAAATTCTTCTTCTTGAGCGGGTCACTGACCAATTCAATGATTGAACTGTACTAGTTCAGGTTCGTACACTCAAAGTTTGTTGTTCATTCTAACAAAAAAAGAGTCGAAACCTATTTATTTCATCTCTTTTGGTGTGTCTAGACAGTCAGATATTTTTGAGTGAAACTCAGTAAAGAATGAAAATGATTATAATCGAAATAGTCTATTCAGTGCATCATTGAAGATGAAATCGAAAGAGGCTTTAAAAAAATACTTCGCAATAAAGTATTTTTGAATATTAAAAGCGAGGATGAGTAAAGCTACCGCAACATAAATATTTCAGTATTGCTGATGTTTAGATCCTGTAAACGCTATTCGACCCTTTATATCTTCTTTTACTAGAAAAAACATCACATTTTTCCTTTAAATCTTTCTGCATGAATTCATCTTTCTGAAGTTACAAATATAACTCCAGCTCGGTCATCAATATTGTTCCAGACTTGTTCCTCCTGTATGGTTGTGCCGTTATTTCGTATAGAAACTCATATTGCCGCTCTACAAAGACTATTCAGTAGAATCTGAAGAAAATGATTTTGTATGCTTTAGAATGTGGATATTTCTATCATCTATACCTATAATCACAAGTCAACTCCACACCCACACCCACACCCTATTACGTGCTTGTATGCGGGATACTATTAGCTTCGTAATACAACATCCATTTTGCAATGCGATTGCGCAGCAACAATAATATTGAATGCACTTTTATGAGCTGACGCTATTCTTGTGCGATACACTTATGCATGCACATGTTTTATTGATACGTGCACTGATGAATGATTATAACTTGTATACCGAACGTGAGTGTCAATAAGATGGCAAGATGTGATCAGATTGGATGAGATTTCTCAGTAACTATCTTTGTCGGGTTATCGACTTCAGTAACGTAACAATTTCAATCGATTCCATGAATGGCAGGCGCATCTATCATTTGCATTGGCAACTACTGATCGATCTGGGTTGCTTGAAGAACCGCTGAATAGCTCTGAAGGGTCCACTCTCAAGTCCAATCAATGAATGTACACTTTTACTAGATCATTATGCATTTTAATATTTCTCTAAACGCTTGATTAGACGGATTTAAATTAATCAATATGCACATACATATATTAATGGTTGTCAATATAAAAACTAAAATTAATGTGTTAAGTTTTATATATACAGAAGCTTCTGATAAACAGAGAGATAGGTAATGGTTATGAGGTTTTCATTAGAATATCATTTCTTCATTGCATATAGTTTTATTAGAGGAATTCTCTGCGCAAAAGAAGCTAGATTCCTTTTCATAGCTTCCATAACTTGTTGAACACCGTGTACAAAGAAAACGGATGACAGTAACTTCCTACGTGATTAATGTTTTTGAGCATAGATTAGCTGAATTTGAATAATTTCGGCTATCAGTGAGAATTTTTGTGCAAGCTACGAAGAAATTGGAAGCAGTCATTCCCACACTAAATCAATTTAAAGAAGAATACTTATTTCTCAAGATTGAATAAGATTTTCAATTACTCTACTTGAGTAGGATCGGACGGAGTCTAGAAATATTAATATTCTGATACTCGTCTCTTTTATAGCTTCTCATAACTGAAATGGTTCAACAAGGCAAAATAGTCTTATTCGATCACATACCGTTTGAG